TTAAACTCATTTTAAAAATATTGCTGCTCCACCAACAGCATAAAAGCAAAGCAAAATCGATGAAATACTTATTAGTTCTAGTTTTGTTGAAATGTTGAAAACATTGTGAAAAGTTGCTGCAGGACTAAAATCTGGGAGAACCTGTTAAAAGACATTGCATAAACATTTAGCGATTTAAACATTGTTGAAAGTGAGTCATATGCTGATTGAAATGCAAAATGCCTTTAGATTGTCATTCTAGCTTTGATTTTAAAGGCAAATCACTCGATTAACTTTAACTGGAGATTTGAGCCACATTAAGAATGATGAAAAATAGCTTGCAGCTCCATTTCTAGTCTAAAATCATGCTACACAGATAATTATAATATAAAATAGTTGCTGAAGAACCTAGTAAAGTCTGTTGAATAAGAAATGATGTCTAAATGCTCCCCAAATTTAAACCCCACTTTATAGATTAATTTTTAAATGTGACCATCAAAGACATTGCCATAAGCACTTTGGTGGTATTAAGACTAAATAACAAACAAGTTTGGAGCTGAGTAATAATGACAATAAGATTAAAGAAGAATGATCAGAATCATAGAATAATACAAAGGATGCAAAAACTTGCCTATGGGTGCATTAATATCTTTGTGAGAAATAATGCAGAGTTTAATTTGTGAGAAAGCTCTAAGCTGGAGCACATTCTCAGAATTTTATTTAATGATGGTTTCCTGCTGATCATTCAAATGAAACTCTCTGGTCTTTTTCTGCTAATCTGATTAGAGACTTAATTTAAGAGTCAGTTTAAAGTGGTTCCTTAGAGAATAACCGGCAATAAAAAAATTATTTCTATTCTGAGCTAACTTTCTGAATATATCATGAGCCAAAACTATTTTTACTGAGTAAAAAAAAACTCAATGCAACTTACCCAAAGACAAACTTTTTTCAATGGGAAAAGATATAAATAAAATGTACTGACCTGCCAGTTGTCCCAATTGTTTTTTTCCAGCTGCTCTACAGCAGGGGTATCAAACTCAATTTCATTGAGGGCTGCATCAGCATTGCGGTTGTCCTCGGGGGGGCGGGTAGGTGTGGCCAGGGTGGGCACGGCCTACTGGGTGGGCGTGGCTGGAGTGGCTGTGCCCTACTGGGTGGGCATGGCCAACTCTACATCGTTCGCGTCAAGAGTGCCTGTGGGGGCCTGGGCAGGAGTGGAACAGATCTGAGGGTCTCTGGCAGAAGGGGGTGGGACCAGGGCAAGCACCAAGGCATAGTCCACTGGAAGAGCCTGCCGAAACTCCTCCCCCGGAGCCCATCAAGCCAGATACGTGAAGTAGGCGAGGGCCATTTGCTGGCCACTTCCAGGCAATGGTGCATTTCTTCATTCCTCACAAAGGGTGACACCTCCCCAGTGCGCGGGGCCAACACGGCAGGGGCCGTCCCTTGCTGTTTCCAGACGGCCTTGTGGAGCTAAGACTGAATGCGTTTCAGCATAGATGGCTACCACAAAATTGTACATTGGCTCCCGGGCGGCCAGGGCTGGGGCCATTCCCTCACTGTTTCCAGGATGGCTTCGCGGGCCACATGAAACCACGTCACGGGCCACATCTGGCCCCCGGGCCTTGTGTTTGACCTCTCTGCTCTACAGTATTGGATATTCTGCAGATCACTTCTATACTTCAGGTATAGACATTTGAAATGTTTGTTCATAAAAGACTTCACCCTGGAGATGTCCAGACACGTGGTCTTCAACTTTCAGTACTCTCAGGCATGGCCATGCTAAGGAATTTTGCGAGCCGAGGCCCACAGATTTGAAGGGCTCTCAAATAAGAGAAAACTGTTTGAAAATATAGATAGCATTTTTTAATTCCTGGATAGGGACTCTTTTGACCCAGCAGATCTTGCTGAACTATAGCCTCTGCCATCTTTCACAATTGCACATGTGAGTCCCAAGAGAAATATATTTCAGCAATATCTTAAAGAAAATGGCTTTTAAAAATTTACAGCTATATTCCAGAGAAATTTCAGGGACTTTTACTAGGGAGCTACAATTTTCTTCAGCTTGTAATGGGGTCAGAGTAGCTACTGGTACAGTACTAACGGCTTTGATCCCTAACCCCATAGTATTCTCACAAGCTATTAATATAGTATTTGGGGACTACTGATTGTCATCTGCTTTGCATTGTAATTTCTTGAGTAAACTGGCCATGGGACATTAGTGCCAGTATGGTTGGATGTGTATGCCCACTCAGTTTGGGATTTGGGTCTCATGAGCAAGATGTGAGATTAGTTAATCCCCTGCTCTGAATTATAGCTTCACAAATTCTTTTCAGTATCAGTTTACTCTCTATTCTGGGCAATTGTTTCTGTTTTGTAGTTGGGGCCTATTTAAATTAAGCTTTTGCAATTCTACAGCTAAATAGTTGCAAGCTAATATGACTGTTTGACCAAAAATCCTGACTCTCCACATTGAGTTAACTTGAAGTAATATCCAAATGTTAAAATCCATATGGAAATACTACTGATTTAGGTCTGCTTGTTATGGAATACATCTTTAAGTGTTTTAACCTAGTTGAGAGGAGAGCACCTGAAAAAGGTATAGCCTCTCACTTAGCTACTTTCTCTGGGAATATTTCGTCAAATAGCAACCAAACCAGTTTATATCTAGGCTTCATTTAATATAGGGTTTGCCTAATGTGCAGTGGTCTTTTATTATCCTGGACTTAAAGGACAGGGCCATTAAAATTGTACCATGTACAGAAAGCAGGACATCTTTTACTTTAAAAGGCAGGAGGGTTGTGAACATAATAGGACAAATGTTTTGTGATGGATTCCATTTTGTAGGTATAAGAAAATACATTTAACAGAAAATTAGAGACATTTCAAAATGCATTTAAGGAATTAGTCTATATCAGTGATGGCAAACCTTTTAGAGACCAAGTGCCCAAACTGCAACCCAAAACCCATTTATTTATCGCCGGGTGGGCATGGCCCACTGGGTGGGCATAGCTGTGGTGGTCATGGTAGACTGGGTGAGTGTGGCCAAGATGGGTGTGATCACCTCGATGTTGCTCGTGGGGACGCCTGTGGGGGCTGGGCAGGGTTGGGGGAGATCCAGGGGGTCTCTGGCAGGTGGGGTGGTGGGCAGGAGGCTCGTCCTGCGGGGTGAGGCGAGGCAAGGACGGGGGTGCCATTATTACAGGGCAAGGCGAGGCTGCCTGACACCATCGGCCCCCGCACACAGAGGACAGTGAGTGCATGGGTGCTGGGATACACCCGGCCATGTGGGACCTCGGCGAGTTAGCGGTCAGCTGGTTGAAGAGGGATGGTTGCCATCTCTGGGGCATGGTACGTGTGTCCACAGAGAGGGCTCTGAGTGCCGCTTCTGGCACACGTGCCATAGGTTCGTCACCACTGGCCTATATGTTAGACTCATTACTGTGTTGATACAAGGTTGTTCAATAAACGTTCCCAATAAAAATGAGATGTTTTTTTTTTACTGGAAGTGTAAATTATGTTGAAGATAGTATATTTTATTTCATTTCATTTTTAGGATGTCCGAGTCCCAAATAACTGGATGTCTTACAACTAAAAACCAACTAATTAAAAGAAAAATACTTCAATATCAGGAGATTCAAAAGTTCAAAAAGCAAAATCTACAAAAAGCAAACCAAAATAAAACAGGCCTGGAGGAGCAACCAGGTCTTCAACAATTTCATATTAACATAAGGAGTATGGATATTCCACATAACTGAACCAGATGGGCAGAGACAGCTAGAGATAGGCTGCCCCTCAGATAACTAGGGCCTATTTCAGGGGTAGGCAACCTTGGCTCTTTTATGACTCGTGGACTTCAACTCCCAGAATTCCTGAGCCAGCCATGCTGGCTCAGGAATTCTGGGAGTTGAAGTCCACAAGTCATAAAAGAGTCAAGGTTGCCTACCCCTGGCCTATTTCATGGAAGGGTTTAAAGGACCATCATCTGAAATTGCACCCAGAAGCCAGCAGGCAGCCCGTGCCGCTTTTCTGTAATGGATCATCATGGCTGTTCTTAATTTTAGATAATTTAGATACTTTTCTGGTTAATCAAAATTCTGTTCATTCAAATGTAGTATATGTGAATACTCCAGGTCTCTTTTAGCCATACATATTGATAATATTTGTCACTCATGCAAAGAGGATTTTTTTTGGCTTGGAGAGTGCTGGAATATGGGGATCTTCTGCAATCCAGAAATTGACTTATGTTCCATCCAAAGATGCATTATGACCTGGATATCCATATGAATTCATTTAAATAAATAATACACCTGAATGACTCCTTCACAGACCATTGCAACTATTTACATTTATGAGTGTATAATTTCCCTGAAATGTAGGTAGATTATGTATTGTTGTAATTATATTTCACATTTCAGGAGTGTAATTCAATCTGTAAAGTGAAGCTTAGAAAAAGATTGCATAAATTGGGTAAAACCCTAAATTCATTCTGAACTTATTTTTAGAGAAGTGTCAGTGAGATTTTTAAATACTCTTAAAACTGAAATATAAGAAAGGATATTAAGGAAACCTTTTTTATTATAATTGTTTTTCCTTTTGAAAGGTTTGCTGAAAACGTTTTGATATGTCATTGTTCTTATCAAAACTGCAGTCTTTTACAATGAAACTGGAATGAAATTGAATGCTTTGCAGTCATATCCTTTTAAAAAAAATATGCCACTGTGTTGCTGTCATGTGAAAAAGCTCTCTGTAGAAATGAAAACTGAAAACATTGTTTAAATGATTTCAACTTCTTGAAAGGTAGATTCTACAATTAGTGACACACTTGATGTCATTCCAAATACGGTCTTCACTCTGATATTCTTACTCATGTCATAAAATAGAGAGTTGCACAATTGCCAATTCATTGAGGAAATATATTGTGTACTCAAGAGGTGGGGAGTGAGTTAAATAAATATAAAGCCAACTGAGGGGAGGGATTTTATTTCTTTAAATCACCATATGCTTCTTTATCCTTGCAGCAGCAGCAAGATGGAATTGAATGGAGAGAAAGCATGCTGACTAACAAGCCAGAATCCGTAACTTCAAAATTGTGATTTGTGTGGCCTGCAAAATCTTTCCAAGGGACTCCAGAAGTGTTTAAACAGCCATGGCACTCTTCACTCCATGGAAATTGTCCTCTCAGAAACTTGGCTTCTTTCTGGTAACTTTTGGCTTTATTTGGGGAATGATGCTCCTGCATTTTACTATTCAACAGAAGACTCAGCATGAAAGCAGTTCAGTGCTTCGTGAACAAATACTGGATCTCAGTAAAAGATACATAAAAGCATTAGCAGAAGAGAATAGAAATGTAGTGGATGGCCCTTACGTTGGGACAATGACTGCATATGGTGAGTAGGTTTGAGTAGATTCCTACATTAAAACTGCAATATTTCATGCCTTATTCAGTATCATCTGGCCAATCAACTCATCAGCCTATATATTTGAGGTTTAGAAATTCCTTCCTTCCTTCCTTCCTTCATTCCAATACAGGAATAAATGATATCTCCTTTTATAACTCCTTTCCAGATTCTTGTGCTAAATGTATAAGGATTTTGTAAACCAGCCAGACACACAAAAACTTGGTTTAGAGTACACAGGAACATCCATCTCCTTTGATTTAAGTTTATGCATGCCACAACTTTAATGAAGTATTGCAATGAACATATGTATATATTAATAATGGCTTGTATATCAATAACATGTGTAATCATAGAGCCCTACTTCCTTGGATTGTTGTTGTAGAGATAAAATGAAATGTCCATATAAAGCACATTGGGCTCTTGGTGAAAAGGCAATACATAAATCTATGAAGGAAATAAGGAAATAAATAAAACTGCAAAATAGATATTGATTTAATTATTTTCATATAAGCATTTTGTGGGTGTATATCTATAATAGTTTAATTGAAACAAAGGGAGATGTATCCAACTTTCTCTCTGCCCTAAATAGCCAGGATACATATAAGTGCTATATTAATAAGTAAACAATTCCCCAAGCAAAAGCAAAATCCAGTAGCAATACAAAATAAAAAACGGATATCAGTTTTCAGTTCACAAAACCTTTTCATCATTGTTCAAAGCAAACACCAAAAGGCTGATTCAAACGGAGTCAGTGCAACAAACAAACAACACCTTTACACACACACACACACACACACAGTCCCAAATTTTAAGAAAGTGGGATAAAATCAGCACCTGCCTCTTGAAACAGTCATATCAATTGGGTTGATTCTGGTAGAACAGTGTGGCACTAGAAGTTGACTTAGACCTGGATACCTGTTAAAAGTAAGTGCAGGATCCACAACAAAAATGTGATAAGTACCTGGCAATGTATGTCAGCTGACAAGTCGGTCACTGTATTTTAAAACAACTTGAGCTTCCTGATGGTCTTCAAAGGCTGTCCCATGGGGAACAGTAGTCCAGATGGATGATGATGAAGACATGGATTGTATTGTGGCTAAGTCCTTCTGCTGCAGATACCTCTGGAACTGGCACATGATTCAGAGTTGTGTAAAGGCCCACTTGGCTATTTATCATCTGCCCAATCAAAAGTAGCTGTAGAAGGAGATTCAAGTTGTGGGTCTGATACTTCAGGCCTTAACGAAAAGGGCTACAATGCATTAAAATAATATAAAATTTGAATATAAATTTTTTTAATATAAAATTAAAATCTTTATATAGTAAAACAATAGGTTAGAGATTTCCCAAAATTCTGTTGGTCACTTACAGTTGTTGTTATAACCAAAATAATTTTAACTAAAATTTGCAAGAAGATACATCTATCCTTTCATATTTGGTGCAGGGGCAGCTTCCAACTGAAAACTGTTGCACTTTCATTCCCACTCTTTTTATGTAAGCAGGCTTTCAGAATAAAGAAATAATGATATCCAATCTCCCAAAATTAAAAGAGATAAATCAGGATGGTATCCAATCTCCCAGACAATTTTAAAAAATAAACCAGAAGAGAACCTGGCTGGGATCTCAATGGTATTTGCTAAAGGGAAAAAATGCATTTCAACCATTGATTTCTCACACATCTCCCTCGGTCTGAAAAAGATAAGAGTAGTTGCAACCAGAGCAAAGATAGCAGATTCCTGGGAATTTTAAATGTTAAAGTTACCCCTCACAGCAAACAAGAATTCCACTCTTTCTGGATGTGGCATTGGTTTTCTTCCTTTGGATCATGGATGTTTACAGCAGCCTGAATAGCGCATTTATATCATCGTAGTTCTTGGCAGCTGTTTATATTTATAATGTATACACAAGATTTCCCTAAGTCTGAATTTAGACTTTTGAAATTAAGGAAAATTGTGTGTTGCAGTAATTACATCTCTTTGTTCAGGGATGAATTTCAGTAGGGTATGAAAAGCGGGGGGGGGGGGACAGTACAAGCTAGTAAATGCCCAAGATTTAGCCAGTAACCAACTTACTTTTAGAGAGAATTATCAGTAGGGAAGAGCAAGACAAGAGAAATTCGTCTCTTATTCCTTAAATGTTGGTTTAAGTGGTGTCCATAACAGGAAAGAAGAATCTTGCAGACTGTGGATATGATGTTTCATTTATTTGCTATTTTTATAAAGAAATTTCAAAGTTTGGGAGACTTATATTAAAAAGCTGGCAGTCAGCACTATGAGCTCAGCCTTTCCACTGTATTTTAAAAAAAGGTTAAGATTTAATTTTTGCCAGACAGCTGCTGCTTTAAAAAAAATCTTCCTTTTCCCAATCATATTGTGTAATAGCAGATACATAATGCCACTGGGAGAGCAGCTAAAAATATATCACATAAAGAGCAAGAAACATTACCTGTTTAACCTCTTCCCCAATTGCTTTGATTTCCCTCCCATTTATGAAATGTATGTATATATGAATTAAAAATGTAAAATGAATGTTAAAAACAGAAATAAAAGTAATACAACAATAGTATACATTATTTTCAGAAAACAAACATTTATACTATACTGACTTTCCCTAATTAGAGGTAGTCCTCAACTTACAACCATTCATTTAGTGGCTGTTCAAAGTTACAACACTGAAAACACTGAAAAAAAAGTGACTTATGACGGTTTGTCACACTTACAAGCATTGCAGCATCCCCATGGTCATGTGATCAAAATTTGGATATTCGGCAACTGGCTCATATTTATGATACTTGCAGCGTCTGACAAGCAAAGTCAATGGGGAAGCCAGATTCACTTAACAACCATATTACTAACTTAACAACTGCACTGATTCACTTAACAACTGTGGCAAGAAAGATCATAAAATGGGGCAAAACTTAATAACTGTCTTGCTTAGCAATGGAGATTTGAGTCTCAATTATGGTCATATGTCAAGGACCACCTATATCAGTGATGGTGAACCTTTTAGAGACCGAGTGCCCAAAAACTGGCTCTGCCCCCACTCCATCCCATGCTCCGCCCCCACCCTGCCTGCCCGCAGGGCCACTCATCGCCTCCAGGGCCCGCCGCAGACCGCCCAGGCAGCCCATGGCAGTCACGCCCTCTGCCCGCGCCCCGCAGCATCAACTGTGTGTGATGGGGCATGAGGGCAGAGTCTTGTCTACGCTGCCTGGCTGCCATGTCTTTGGCAGCGCTGTTCCTTGTGGGCCATGCTCGGGGGCGACTCCCCTCTGGGGGCTGCTGGTGGGGTCGCGGGGGAGGCAAGGCTGGGGCAACAGCACGTGTGCCTACAGAGAGGGCTCCGAGTGCCACCTCTGGCACCCATGCCATAGGTTCGCCACCACTGACCTATATACTGTAGAGCCTTTGTTAAGACAATAACAAAGTCTTTTAAGTAAGAATGAAGTTGAAAGCCCCTATTTCAACTATGGGGTTTTTCATCATAAGCACATATTTGGGCTATTCTCCTGCAGGTGATTATACTCTCTCAGATAGACTGGTCTCAGACTGTTCATAGTTTTATCAGTAAAATCCAGCATCTACAGCTTGGTTTCATACCAGTTGTAAGCTAATATAATTGATCCAAGCTAAGAGTACATCTTCTGCAAAGCACACATCAGCTAATGGTCTAACTCAGGTGTTTCCAAACCTTCACAAGGTCCTATATGGGTTTTAACTCTCAGAATTCTCCATAGTGACCATGCTGGGTGTGAACTTCAGCTTCCTGGGAATTGAAGGTCACAATCCTGCAATATTTCTAGATTGGGAATGGCCACATTTTGCTCTGCCTGATTTTTCTGAATGCTTTTCAAAGGAGTCCTATCTAGAATGGATTTCTATAAGCATCTCGTGTTTGAAGCATTCATTCATTCATGCATTCATTCACATGCTGCCCATCTCATTGTCAAGCGATTCTGGGCGGTTATATCTGCCTTTTTCAGGGTTTGCTATTTATCATCTTTATATTTTCTGTGTAGGGCTGATATTTACTTCTTTAATTAATTAATTTAATAAATCAAAGTTTCTCTTAATAGTTTAAATGCTTCTTGGCCCACTTTTCCAATGATATTAAAATAAAAAAGTAAAATGAATCATTTACGAGACATCCCAGCAGGATGGCAAGTAGAGGTAGTCCTCGACGTAACAACAGTTCATTTAGTGACCGTTCAAAGTTAGGGCACTGAAAAAAGTGACTTATGGGTTTTCACGCTTATACAACCATTGCACCCTTACAACCATGGTCATGTGATCAAAATTCAGATGTTTGGAATGTTTGCAGTATCCTGAGATCATGTGATCACCTTTTGTAACCGTCTGACAAGCAAAGTCAATGGGGAAGCCAGATTCACTTAATAACTTACAACTGAAGTGATTCACTTAACAACTGGGGCAAGGAAGGTCGTAAAATGGGGCAAAATTCACTTAACAAATGTCTCAGAAATTTTGGGCTCAATTGAGGTTGTAAGTCGAGGACCACCTGTAATGAAATGTTACCTAAGAACAAGAAGAATTGTTTTCTGTTTCTGTTCAAGATCATTTTAAATAAAGATGCAAGCTTATTTGCTCCTTCTGTATTTGGAACAAGAAGAATTGGGAGAGGGAGAGGAAATAAATATATTGATATATTATGTTGTTGTTAATTGCGAAGTTGTGTCCGACCCATCGTGACCCCATGGACAACGTTCCTCCAGGCCTTCCTGTCCTCTACCATCTTCTGGAGTCCATTTAAGCTCACGCCTACTGCTTCAGTGACTCCATCCAGCCACCTCGTTCTCTGTCGTCCCCTTCTTCTATTGCCCTCAATCTTTCCCAGCATTAGGCCCGTCTCCAGTGAGTCCTTCCTTCTCATTAGGTGGCCAAAGTATTTGAGTTTCAACTTCAGGATCTGGCCTTCTAAAGAGCAGTCGGGGTTGATCTCTTCTAGGACTGACCAGTTTGAATGTCTTGCAGTCCAAGGGACTCGCAGGAGTCTTCTCCAGCATCATAATTCAAAGGCCTCAATTATTTGTCGCTCAGCCTTTCTTATGGTCCAACTTTCACATCCATACATTGCAACTGGGAAAACCATGGCCTTGACTATACGCACTATATGATATACAGAGCCATAAATCATTCATAGTCCAAAACCAACTTGGAAAACGGTGCTTTCCTGCTCCTGAATGGGATCAGTGCTGTTTTATATAAAGTTTGTCCTGGATGTTCCTCTTGCTCTTGGTTTTCGCTTTCTAACCTTTCTGTTTATTTTGCCAGAAGGCACCTGCCTCTTTTTAAAAACTAAGTGGTCCCTTGTTTTCTCTCAACAACTGTTCTTTTTTCCCCATCCCATCTTACCATTACGAAATCTTACTTATTTGGCAAAAAGGAAAGACCGCAACATCCTTGAACAGACCTGCCCTACAGGTCAGGGCTAACCTTTCATATCTCCCTAAATATCTTTCCTTCTCTGCAGTGGAAGCCGCTCTTTAGAACAAGGGTCCAGTTGTTGCCTTGTCTCATTTTCTGACAAGATTCTGTGACTGCTGTGAATGCAATTGCTTGAAAGGTGGAAGGCCGCCATCCTTAGAAACAGGCCCGTGGCACTGCTTTTGTCAGTCATGTAACATTAGTGTTTGTTTTGTAAGGCATGATAGCTCTGACACCCTGTACGAAGACTTACATTCTGATTCTCCTGCTAAATATTGCGTATTGGCTAGAATTTGTGCTAACTTGTCCTTGAACAGAATACATTTAAAGACTATTGATGTGCCATGTTTCTCTTCACAAGGGACAATCATTTATTCTTTTTGAACCTGAAAAGAAATTTCAGAAAGATAGCAGATGCTAAAAGCCGTTCTGGAAGCAAAAGTTTTTCTGCCTTAATTCTGTTCAGCAAGGAAAACCAAATATATTATTGAAAGTGACACCCTGCCCAAATTTTAACTCCATTTGCCTTGTGGTTTCTGTAGCTATAATTTTGTTACCTATAATTGTCAGACTCTTGGTTCTGCAGATAAAGTATTCAATAACGGGGATCCTGGCAAGAACTTTTGCTTGTTAGAAAAATCTCCTTTGGGAAATTACATTTATTGTCAACACGAGTTTCTATAGAAAAAAAATCATTTCAAAAATGAAATGAAGTTATTTTTGTGAAAAGCTTAAAAAATCAGAGACGTATGAACTCTACCATTTCCATCACCCCCGTTATTGTAATGCACAGTGGCATTGAACAGGTCATTCTCACTTAACTACAAATATAATTGCTGCTAAGCGATAACTCATAAAAAGCACAATGTTATGTGACCCTGCTGCTTAGTGGTGGCAGTTCTGGCAATCTCAGGTTACCGTCATTATGCAGGGACCAGGCAGGTTGTTAAGAGACGGCCTCATGTTATTACATTTTCCAAGTTTCTGCTGACTTCCCCATTGACTTTGCTTGTGAGAAGTCGAAAGGAGAAGTCACAAAGTGAGCATGGGATGCTGTACCGGTTGGATAATCTGGGCCAATCGCTGAGCACCCAGATTGCCATCATGTGTCCACAAGGTTACTGTGACGGATGGAATGTCAAGGACCGTTTTAAATATCACTTGGAACAGTTGCTGAATGAGTGATTGTTAAATGACCACCTGTATTACCATCCACTGAATTTCTTTTGATTTAATTACTAGAGACAATTAATTGCTCACAAACTGGTAGATGACTTGAAAATAAATGAGTTAAAAACACGATTAATAAATGTTTTATGTTCAGAGATATATGAAGTAACTTGTGTACTAGGGCTATGTAAAGCCTTTGAACGAGGTTCATCATGATTATGAGAGCATAAATAAAACCCCTTTGAATTATGAAAGCAGCCGTGTCTTCTTGATTTTGAACTGACCTTCATTTTGCTTTGAAGAAAGCCAAGCAAAGCGGAAGCATATTTAGAAACAGGTGGAACCTGTGTAAAACAACTGCATGCATGGAAAATGAGGAGCCTTTTTTAATTATTAGAAAAGAAGTGCTTCATACGTACTACTTCACATTCTGAAAAAACTCTTCCAAAAACTTTGCACATCCCTATTATGCACATATCAGTAGAATGAAATAAGTCACTGCTGTCACTGCATGATGAAGGGATGAGTGTTTGAATGTATAGTAAGAAATGGTACTGTATTTGGTTCCGCTTCAAATAGCAAAGATATGGTTTTGTCACCATACATCACATATAAAAAACATGGATTGCCATAAATGATAATGCTGTCTGCATATGGTCTTTAGCCTTACATAACTTAAGTGGATAAAGTGAATTGGGGACTTCCAGGAAGTATAATAATTTGCTTCAATAATATGTAATATCATTGCTTTGAACCGAATAAAATATTGAATAGTTATTTGTTTTATGTTTTCCTTTATAAATCTAATTGGTTTTATTTGCTTTCCTGATTTAGATTTGAAGAAAACTCTTGCTGTCTTACTGGATAACATATTGCAGCGTATTGGGAAGCTTGAGTCTAAAGTTGAGAACCTCGTAATCAATGGCACAGGTGCAAATTCCACAAATAGTACCACCACTGCAATTCCTAGTTCGGGAGCAGCTGAAAAGCTGAATGTTGCAGGTAGGTTTGAAAACTCTTCATTTCTGTCCTTTAATTTAGCACAGTGATGGCGAACCTTTTAGAGACGAGTACCCCAAAACTGGCCCCATCCCACTCCACCCCCTGTGCGAACCCCGCTCTGCCCCCACCTCACCTGCCTGCAGGGCCACTCACCACCTCCAGGGCCCGCCACAGATCACCCAGCAGCGCCATGGTGGCCACGCCCTCTGCCCGCGCCCCACAGCATCAACTGTGCACGATGAGGCATGAGGGCAGAGTCTTGTCTACTCTGTCTGGCTGCCATGTCCTTGGCTGCACTGCTCCGTGTGGGCCACGCTCGGGGGCGACTCTCCTCCGGGGGGGCTGCTGGTGGGGTCGCAGGAGAGGCAAGGCTGGGGCAATGGCACGTGTGCCCACAGAGAGGGCTCTGAGTGCCGCCTCTGGCACCCGTGCCATAGGTTTGCCACCACTGATTTAGCATAATATATAGCATAATATAAAATAGTCTGAAAGTAGATTTTATTATTATTATTCTTAAAGGTTCGGGGAAAGAGGAAGGAGGGAAGAGGAGGCTAACTAAGGATGGTT